AAGACACGCGAGGGCCCAAGAGGGTCCCGAGAAAGCCCCAATAAGACCCCAAAAGGAAACCAAAACGATCAGCTCTCATCGGCAGCGTTTCTGAATGGGTTGGTGGGGATACGCGAAACGGGGAGACTACAGAATCCAGAATTCAAACACATGGCTATGAAGCACGATCAAACACAAAACCGCTGCGCCAATTGAGAAAGCTGCGCATATCTTGGCGCGAATACGGGAGACAGACAGACACACAAAGGCTAGCAAAGAACGCACGAAGCATATTATCACTTACACGTATCTCGATTGGTGATATCCCAAATTCTCGCAGGCTGTGCGCAAACACTGACACCGGCATGCTTCCACCGACTGCTGTCTCAAAACGACATGTGCAAATGCTTGCCTTCTCGTCGGGAACAAGCCGCAACCTAATGTGGATTGATGTCTAGGACCAACTCTCGAGCCGTCCCTGATCCCTCCTGGCGCGCGGCGCATCAATAAGACTACTGCATCGATCGCTCCCTCAGCCATTGCCCAGTTTTGCCTGGCAACTCGTTCTTCGTCTAACAAAACCACCAAATCTGAATTGAGGCATTGCCACGGCACTGTGGTGCGTCGCCCATGCTACAAGCTTGCATGGACGCGCGTATCCACGCACTACGATCTACCATTGAGTTCCGATCGACGAAGCACCCGAACACTACTCGCAGGCGTATGGGACGACCACAAAAATCTCCGAACGACAAAGAAGAGACCAAGGCTGGCAAGAACGACATGATGGATATATAAATTTAGATATACACGCATATATAAACCAACACGCAGCAAAACAAACAAACAAACAAACAATCAATCATACATACATGCATACATACATGCATGCATCTATATATATATATATATATATATACATACATACATACATACATACATACATACATACATGTGTTGGAAACAACAAATTACTCCGACGGAAGGACCCCACATGATAATATCTTTAGCTTGCATGGGGGTATCCTCCTGCCCCTTCCCTTCTCCCACCTACTCTTGCCTCCTCGTTCTCCTCCTGTCTGGTCCTCCTCCTGCCTCAACCCCTGCCTCTTCCTCCTCTTCTTGCCTCCTCCACCTCCTCCCCCTCCCCCTCGTTATGCTTCCTCCCCCCCATTCCCCCTGCCCCTCCTGCCTCCTGCCTCCTCCTCCTCCTGCTCTCCCTCTCCCTTCTCCTCCTCCTCCTCCTCATCCCCTGTCCTCCTCCTCTCCCTCTCCCTCATCCGCTTCCTCCTCCTCCTCCTCCTCCTCCTCCTCCTCCTCCTCCTCCTCCTCCTCCTCGTTTCCATATTCCTTCCCCTCCTCCTCCCCCCCTCCTCCTCCTCCTCCTCCTCCTCCTGCCTCCTCCTTAGGCCTCCTGCCCCCTCCTGGGGCCTCCTGGGGCCTCCTGGGGCCTCTTGGGGCCTCCTGGAGCCTTCTGGGCCTTCCGAGGCCTACTGGGGCCTCCTCGGGCATTCCTCCTCCTCCTTTTCCTCCTCGTCCTTCCTCCCCTCAGCCTCTTCCTCTTCCTGCTTTCCTGTCTCGTCCTGCATCATCCCTCCTCCTTTTCCTGGCAATCCTCCTCCTCCTCGTCCTCGCGCGGAACACGACCCAGAGGAAGCGCACGACGTGCGTCCCAGCCGATACGCGCCGGAGGACGACCCAGAGGAAGCGCGCGCCGGAGGATGACCCGGAGGAACCACGTGAGCTGCGGGACCCATAGGAAGGCTCCCGCCTGACGCGTCCCCACAATTCACTCACAGACGAGAGTCCCGCTTGATACTTCTTCCAAATTCAGACCTGAGGAGCCCAAAAGTGACGACGGTTACAAGAATCCGATGACCCGCTCGGATTAGTAACATGATCTGCGGGCCCCATAGGGAGGGGGTTCCCGCTTGAGACTTGCTTGCAATTCACTGACAAACGAGGCTCCCGCTTGATACTTCCTCCAAATTCAGACCTGAGGAGCCCAAAAGTGACGACAGTTACAGGAATCCGATGACCCGCTTGGATTAGTAACATGATCTGCGGGCCCCATAGGGAGGGGGCTCCCGCCTGAGACTTCCTCACAATTCACTCACAGACGAGGTTCCCGCTTGATACTTCCTCCAAATTCAGACCTGAGGAGCCCAAAAGTGACGACAGTTACAGGAATCCGATGACCCGCTCGGATTAATAACATGATCTGCGGGCCCCATATGGAGGGGGCTCCCGCCTGAGACTTCCTTACAATTCACTCACAGACGAGGCTCCCGCTTGATACTTCCTTCAAATTCAGACCTGAGGAGCCCAAAAGTGACGACAATTACAGGAATCCGATGACCCGCTCGGATTTATAACATGATCTGCGGGCCCCATGGGGAGGGGGCTCCCGCCTGAGACTTCCTCACAATTCACTCACAGACGAGGCTCCCGCCTGATACTTCCTCCAAATTCAAGCCTGAGGAGCCCAAAAGTGACGACAGTTACAGGAATCCGATGACCCGCTCGGATTAGTAACATGATCTGCGGACCCCATAGGGAGGGGGCTCCCGCCTGACGCGTCCTCACAATTCACTCACAGACGAGGGTCCCGCTTGATACTTCTTCCAAATTCAGACCTGAGGAGCCCAAAAGTGACGACAGTTACAGGAATCCGATGACCCGCTCGGATTAGTAACATGATCTGCGGGCCCCATAGGGAGGGGGCTCCCGCCTGAGACTTGCTCGCAATTCACTCACAGACGAGGCTCCCGCCTGATACTTCCTCCAAATTCAAACCTGAGGAGCCCAAAAGTGACGACAGTTACAGGAATCCGATGACCCGCTCGGATTAGTAACATGATTTGCGGGCCCCATAAGGAGGGGGCTCCCGCCTGAGACTTCCTCGCAATTCACTCACAGACGAAGCTCCCGCTTGATACTTCCTCCAAATTCAGACCTGAGGAGCCCAAAAGTGACGACAGTTAGAGGAATCCGATGACCCGCTCGGATTAGTAACATGATCTGCGGGCCCCAATGATCGTTCGATGCCGATGATGGTGAGTGATCGTGCGATGGTGATGGTGATGCTGATGGTGATGATGATGATGAGTGGGGAGTGATGGTGATGGTGATGATGATGCGGAGGACGAAGCAAAGAGGAGCAGAGGAGAGGGAGGAGGACGAGAGATCCTGCGCGGAGGATGCGCAGAGAAAACAAGAACCCCACTTAGGATGTGGGGAACAAGGAATCAGCATGACATCATGTAGCAATAGCAACAAACAATTTAACACTGATCGTTCCTACCTGCTCGCGTGCCATTCTAAACCGCCCTATTCGTATTCGATCGTAACCCCATTGGGCGTATATCTTCCTAACCTGCCACGCGCGTGTACCGCAACCCCTGAAACAGGAGCATGGGGGACGGATGGAAAAAGGGCAGGGGAAAGGATGGAGTACGAGAGAAAGTAGCACGAGGGGAGCCAGAGCAAAAAAACACGTGGTAGAACCAGACGGGCAGATCGAGCGGACCGGCGGGTCGGGAAGGCGGGCCCAGGCGACCAAATCGAGAAGGCGGGTTGCTGAAGCGTAAATCCTGCATGAATCATGGTGGAATCTCGAACGATAACGCGATTCTCAAGTACATGAGTTTTACTAATACATTCGGAGGAAGCAGATTATATACATACACACACACACAGACATACATACATATATCCTGGCGAAACACTCAACCATTTGCAATTGTGGGTACCGAAATTGTGGATATCTTCTTCGGTGAAGCTCCCCAACACCTGCAAATGATAACATGGAAAATGAAGACCTTGTACATGCAAACAATATCCAAAAAAATGATGCCGAAAAAATGTGCCCGAAGAAAACGTAAATTTGAGCAGCATGTCATCCAATATCAATCGAAATTAATACAGAGCCAGCCCATAAAAATTCAGACATTCTCTGCTCGAACGATGGCAAAAAATCTTGGTGGGTAAATGTAAGAATTGTGCAAAATGCACACTTGCTTACGCATTTTGTTACAGGAAGAATAAACACGAAATGACAGACTTGGATATTGCGAGAATGAGAGAGATGCAAAGCATGCTAAACTTCAGTTCGTAGCCATTTGGGCTCAAGAGCAATTGCGGTTCAAGAGCACTTCCGGTTGCTCTAGCTTTGGGCTTGCGCTCCCCGCGCGTGGCGCTTGTGATTTGTGTGAACTCCGGGCGAAATAAGATTGCACGCGAATCTCAGAATCAACATGTCGGGCGCATCGCCAGTGCTCGGCAGCCTCGTGGAGCGTCTGCGTCGCCCACGCTGGGGCCGCCTCGAGACGCTGGCCGGCGTGCGACACTCCCACGCTCGCGGGGAAAGTCAAGGGCCCGCGGAAGTCCCCCGCTGCTCTCGGGGACCCTGCAGGGCCCGACAGCGGGCCCCCTGGGGCCGCCGTCAAGACGACTCGGGATGGAACGCTTGGTCCCGTGGAAAGCCCTGGGCTGAAGGGCACCGAGAGTGGGGGCCTGGCTCACCGTAGGGGGATAGCATCGACCTGGACTCGGCGACGCATCGTGGAGAGATCCGCACTAGGCCCCGACAGCGAAGCTCCGCGTTCCTGGGCTTAGGGGCAACGAGGGTGGGGACCTGGCTCACCTTAGGGGGATAACATCGACCTGGACTCGGCGACACATCGCGGAGAGATCCGCCCTAGGCCCCGATAGCGAAACCCCAGCATCCCGTCGGCGTGGAATGGGCGACTGAAGGTCGATGCATCCCCCCCCTGAGCCTACCCCCCAAGCGTGTCTTCCGTCGCCTGGCTCGCGGGTCTCCAGCGGCCGTCGGGTACCATCCGGGCACCCTCGGACGCCTCTCGGCTAGGCGCAGCTGCTGGTACGCATCCCGAGGCTGGAACGTGCCGAGGACCCACAAAAGCATCCCCCCCTCGAGCCTACTTATACCCCCACCTGACGTTACCCCTGGATGACGCCCTGGGGCCCAAGACGAAGCACGGCGGCGACCCGATGTCTACAACGCGAAGGCGTCCGCGACGGTCTCGCCCGCCGAGGCCCCGCTCAGGAGCCGTCCGCCTGGCAGGGCGGCGTCGGCGCGGCCGAGCCCGGGGTCCAGCCTGCCCGCGCCCAGCTCGCCCGCCAGCCAGTCGCGCACGCCAGCGAGAGGCGCGCCAGGCGCCGCCCGCACCCAGCAGCGCTCCACCCCGCCCAGGGTCAGGAAGCGCACCTCGCCAGGAAAGAAACGGATCCTCCAGCTTTCCGCTGTGACTTTCGCCTCCCCAGGCCCCCCGCGCGCCCCAGGGCTGTCAGAAAACGGCTCAGGATGAAAGTCTGCTCCACCGGGGGACGGCCTGGGCCCCGGGGTCCAGGACCAGTTCCCCTCGGGACCCGTTCCCTTCATGCCAAGCACCGCGCCACCGTCCAGCGACGCCTGCAGGAGCAGCGTCGCGCCGACGAGCAGGCGCGCGGTGTACGTCAGGCCACCGTCCAGCGCCAGCACGTTGCACTGGCCAGCGTAATTCAGGCCGAAGGCCACGGCCGTGCCGTCGCTCCTGAGCAGCGCCGTGTGTTCACGTCCCGCAGCGACCTGCGTGTAGCTCAGGCCACCGTCCAGCGCCGGCACGTTGCACTGGCCAGAGCGATTCCCGCCGAAGGCCACGGCCGTGCCGTCGCTCCTGAGCAGCGCCGTGTGTTCACGTCCCGCAGCGACCTGCGTGTAGCTCAGGCCACCGTCCAGCGCCGGCACGTTGCACTGGCCAGAGCGATTCCCGCCGAAGGCCACGGCCGTGCCGTCGCTCCTGAGCAGCGCCGTGTGTTCACGTCCCGCAGCGACCTGCGTGTAGCTCAGGCCACCGTCCAGCGCCGGCACGTTGCACTGGCCGCCGTGATTCCAGCCGAAGGCCACGGCCGTGCCGTCGCTCCTGAGCAGCGCCGTGTGTTCACGTCCCGCAGCGACCTGCGTGTAGCTCAGGCCACCGTCCAGCGCCGGCACGTTGCACTGGCCGCCGTGATTCCAGCCGAAGGCCACGGCCGTGCCGTCGCTACTGAGCAGCGCCGTGTGGGCACGTCCCGCAGCGACCTCCGTGTAGCTCAGGCCACCGTCCAGCGCCGGCACGTTGCACCGGCCGGCGCCATTCCCGCCGAAGGCCACGGCCGTGCCGTCGCTCCTGAGCAGCGCCGTGTGTTTGCCTCCCGCGGCGACCTGCGTGTAGCTCAGGCCACCGTCCAGCGCCGGCACGTTGCACTGGCCGCCGTGATTCCAGCCGAAGGCCACGGCCGTGCCGTCGCTCCTGAGCAGCGCCGTGTGGGCACTTCCCGCGGCGACCTGCGTGTAGCTCAGGCCACCGTCCAGCGCCGGCACGTTGCACTGGCCGGCGCGATTCGCGCCGGAGGCCACGGCCGTGCCGTCGCTCCTGAGCAGCGCCGTGTGAAGGTATCCCGCGGCGACCATTCGTGGGCGCGGTCGGGAGGCCCGAGGGCCTGCGGACGGGGAGCGCGCGCGGGCTCCTGGGAGCGCTCGGGGCTCCCGGGGGGGCCGCGGCTCGAGCCGGAACGACAGGCGGGCAGAGGGGCGGCCCACGGGGCCCTCGCGCCTGGAGGCCTGGAGGCACCTGCGTGCCCGCGCCCCGCGATGCGCGAGGCGCGGCTCTCGCCGCCCCCCGCCGAGTGGCCGTGAGGCACCCTGGGGCACCCTGCCGGCGCCGGCCCCGCGCGCGCGGAGGGCCACGCGACGCGCGCGAGGCCGCGCGCGGGACTTCCTTGCGCCCTCGCGCCGTCCCCTCTCCAACGGGTAAAGCGACTCGTAGAGCTTCCCTAAAAGCGTTAGCGGCGAAGCTAGAAGAGTAATTCCCTGGTCTGCTAACAGACCTAGGTCTGCACAACTATTTGTATTCCACCGATTTTTTCTGAGATGATGATGAGTTTCTTCACTTAGCTCAAGCTTCAGATGAGCTGGAGAACTCGTTGGCACAACAATTGGCAGGAACTCATCAGACGCAATAGTCTGAAGTATCTAGACGCCTGAATTCGGTTTGCTACTAGCACAAAAACAGGACAACTATTCGTACTCAGATTTTTGTTTGGGAGATGGAATTGTTTTTCTCGACTTAACTAGAGCTGCAAATAAGCTACAGAGCTCTTCGGCACAACAACTGGAAGGAAATCATCAAGCGCGCTGGTTAAAAGTATCTAGACGCCTGAAATCAGTCTGCTATTAGTGCGCGGGCTGCCCCCCCCCCCCCGAACAAAAAAAAAAAAAAAAAAAAATCGTAAGCTGCTGATGTCTTGGAGATGGTTTTGTTCTTCTTGACTTAGCTCGCGCTGCAGATGAACTACAGAGCTGTTGAATACAACAATCGAAAAGAATCAGCAGAGCGCTATATATATATATAAAACCAAAAAAAAAAAAAAAAAAAAAAAAAAAAAAAAAAAAAAAAAAAAAAAAAAAAAAAAAAAAAAAAAAAAAAAAAAAAAAAAAAAAAAAAAAAAAAAAAAAAAAAAAAAAAAAAAAAAAAAAAAAAAAAAAAAAAAAAAAAAAAAAAAAAAAAAAAAAAAAAAAACTGCTAATTCTTTGGAGATGATATTGGTTTTCATGATTGAACTCAAGCTTCAAAAGAGGTACAGAGCGGCACAACAATCGAACGGAAATAAACAGGCGCGCTTGTTTGAAGTATGTGCACGCCTGAACTCGGTCTGCCATCAGCTCTGGGACGATTACCTACTCGTCCTCTGCTAATTCCTTTGGAGATCTGATGGTTTTCGTTACCCTCTTCGGCACAGCCATCGGAAGGAAATCAACAGACGCGCTACTTTACCGTGTCCAGACGCCTGAACTGGGTCTGGTATGTACATTTTTTCCAGAGATGCTTTCCCCTCACTTCTTCTCCTTCGCCACGTCCTCTTTCACGAGCAATCTCTACGAATTCCCGGCAGTAATCAAGGTTGACGGATTTTCTTGAAATCTTGAATTTTTGTATCTTTCATGTCGACATGAAGTTGGTTACGCAAAGTGCGCCTACGGAACTCACATTAACACGCAGAGGCTCTCCGAGTTTTTTTCACAGGTGCGGAAAATCTGGTTTCTCAACACGAATTGGCAAATATCTTTCAAAACTTAGCAACCCCAGCCTCGCGCGACGGCGCTGCGCGGAGCGCGCGACGCGCGCCTCTCGTCGCGCCCGCGCCGCCCCCCCCCCTCCCCTGGAGAAGGCCAGCTGCTCCCGCCAGCCCGCGACGCGCGCGGCACGTGAGAGATGCTTTACTGAAGTGGCCCGATTAGAAATCGCCCGATCAGTACAAAAAAAAATGAGGAGTCTTGCTCGGGAACGTCGAGCCACTTTCTTTCCCGGTTGAAGTGACAGCGATGCCAGCCCAAATGTCTGATTCTGACACGTTGACATTTATCATGAGAACTATACGAAACGTCCACGACTCAAAAGCCACGGCTCAAAAAACAACCATGATTTACTTCCCTACGCACCTCCCTACACATGAACGAAGCCACGCTAAAGTCTCATAATCTGCACGCACTTGCTAACTGCAGCATCAAAAAATTGCGGGAGGTAGGAACTACTCAAAAGAACATCGCCCCAAACCACGTGTGAAACACGATGTGTGCACTCTCCCCCTCAGAATGAAAAACCCCAGAAAACGTCTGACAATTCCCCCTCATGCGGCGCGCTTGGTTCTATAACACTGTTTCTGACCGAACGCATCGCATTCAGGTCGCGTACGAGAACAATATCTCAATCTTTTGGCCCTGATAACCATTCAGGAACCCGGGAACAATTCCAAAGCAACAACGGGCCCGGTAGGTGATGCTCTCCATACACATCGGGGCACAACGCTTCCCAAAGTATCACCTTGCCGCGCGATGCTGGAATCAGCTATGAAAGACATCGAACATGCTCTGGGGAAACGGAATGCAACTTCGCAAGCAAATACGACACGATCAAAAACCCTGACGTCCGAGCAACGCGAAAAAACGCGGCAACTGAAACAAACAAGACTGACGGGTTCTGAAATAAACACACACTGCTCATTTAACATTCTTCTCTGATATGTCAAAACATGAACAATATGACAACACAACATATGTAAATCAGACCGAAATGAATTCATTGAAAAATATAATTTCTGAATCAATCGATCAGATTTGAGTGCATACTCTTCTGCTCAACCAATTCATGGCATGTGTCTTCGAACTAGAGATTTTCATCGAAGGCCTCGAAAAAAAAACGCAGAGTTATGACGTTATATCCGCAAATCCTGAATGCAAATCCGACCTGTAAATTTCTGAAAATAATAGAAAGAGAGATTGCTGGAGCGAATCCAATGTTATAGAAATATAAGAACAAGACCGCAAACTTCCAGAAACAATTGGAAATCATTGAGTTTGATCTAAACCTGCAAAATAAGATTGTGAATGCTAATTTGAAACCCACACCATTGAATCAAAAATAAAATCGCTTTAAAGTCACGAAGGAAATTCAAAAACTAAATTCCAGGATCCCGTTTAGGACCTTCGCTTTCCCTCAGGGGTTCGGCAAGAAATTGTACTACTCTGTTCCTGCTTGCATCGTAGCTGTTTGTATGCAATTTCTAAGTTGGCTGATGCCAACTTTACAATGTTCTGCTTTTCTTCGAATGCAATATGCTGTTAGTTACTTTGTTCATTTCGATTTTGGCTTCGTAATGTTTGCGCTTCTTTGCGTGCTCTTGTCCTTCGAATGTTGAATTTGAATGTAGGAAGGCACAACTCGACTGAGAATAAACTGGTGTCTGAAATTACGTATCGATCGAAAGTGGAAAAAACTTATATTGAAATAATAATAATAATAATCATAATAATTGTATGTATAGAAATAACAATGTCTCTAAGTACTGTTTCTTAAACTACGTACGATGTACGCAATTTCGATCGCATTGAGCGAATCGGAGAACATGTTACAAATCACAGACTGCCCATTAAATTATACTCGTATTCTGATCATAAATAACCTCAATGTACTAATACTCGAATTATCTATCCTTAACGAAACTGTGTTTCTGCTTAGAATAGTTATAATCGAAAATCACTCTACTTAATACAATTATATACATAACAAATTTTCCCATCACTCCGGAAAAAAAAAATTCTTATTCATAATACGTGTTTTCCCAACCATCCTGTGGTGTTGGGTCCTCGTTTTGAAGAGACGGTGGCCCGCGCCCCTCCTCTCCTCCTCCTCCCCCTCCTTCCTCCCCCCTCCCATCGTCATCACCATGACACACCCCTCACACGTTTCGTGGCCCCATAGGGAGCTCCACCTAAGGCCCCAGTGGCGCAGTTCGCATGGCGGCGCCGCCCCACTTTGGCACACCCCTCACACGTTTCGTGGCCCCACAGGGAGCTCAACCTACGGTCCCAGTGGCGCAGTTCGCATGGCGGCGCCGCCCCACTTTGGAACACCCTTCACACGTTTCGTGGCCCCACAGGGAGCTTCAACCTACGGTCCCAGCGGCGCAGTTCGCATGGCGGCGCCGCCCCACTTTGGCACAACATTACTCCAATTATAAACGGAGAACAATAATAAACTAGAATTCTACATTATTATGAACTGCATTCTTCTGTACGTATCTCTACTGAGAATTAATATGTCAATCCCCCTGGCAGACACACGCAAACTCTCACGGCCAACCACACGCACGCACACACACACACACACACACACACACACAAACACACACACATATATATATATATGTGTATATATATGGGATAATAGTTGTACTGGTAACAAAAAGAAGTAGTAATATGGTACTAGTGTATATATATATATATAAAGAATATGTGTGTGTACGTCTGCAAAATATGCACGCGTGTGTATATCATCTATGTAGACGCACACAATGACAATAACACTAATGATAACTGGATCAACCTAATTACATGTATTTGTATTTGTATGAATATATATATATATATATACATACATACATACATACTTCTACATACATATATATATATATATGAAGACACACGCACACGCACACACACACGCACACACACACACACGCACAGACACACACCCACACACACACATATACATAGATATGTGTTTGTGAAAGGTAGCAGTACTAGTACTAGTAGTAGCAGTAAAAATCGCAGTAGTAGTACTAGTAATAGTTGAAGTAATAATAATAGTAATAGTATTAATATATACGTATATATATATATGTGTGTGTGCGTGTTGTGTGTATATCTGCAAAGTCTGTGCGCGTGTGTATATCATCTGTGTAGGCACACGCAATAACAATACCAACAATGACAACCGTATCGACATAATTACATTATGTGTAAGTGTATGTGTATGTGTACGTACAAACACATATATATATATACATGTATCGAAAGAATTAACTCGTGAGTTAGTACTTTTCATCTCGGGTATGCGCATCCACCTACAAAAAAAAGTATGAACTCGCGAGTTAATGCCTTAACAATGTTTCCAACGACAGAAAAATATGAACATGTGAGTTAATTCTCCCCATTGCCCACCGACCAAAAA